TACTTTATCATTAATATTTACTAATACTACAAGTGGTAAAAAAAATTCGGAGATTTATGATTTTATAGGAGCTGAAATATTGTTAATGACTGGATTCCAACCAAAAATTGTGTTACCGTATTTTCGAGTTTAAATGTATGTGAATGTGAGCATAGGTGTATGTATGTGTATGCGTGTATGTGTGTGTATGTGTGTATGTGTGTGCGTGTGAAAGTGCCTGTAAGTGACATTTTCAAAATCGTTCAACCACAGATTTTGATGACTCATTCGAGAGTGACGAGAAAGTTTCCTTTCTGTAATCTTAAACGAAGACATGATGTGCGACTAGTTGAATAGACTTTTCTTCATTCCTCATTACTGTCATCACCACTGTCACCAGTCATCTTCTCAGCTAGTATTATCGAAAAAGGGTGGCTATATATGCTTTCCAATACCTGTACATATCAATCTCTGTATGTGTCTGTTCGTACCATTCATTCCTTCTCACTGGCTTTATTAGCTGTACAAATAGGAAGACTAAGGTAAGCGTAGTGGGACGCTCTCACAAATGACAGGACGGCCTCTATCACATAAAGCTTTTCTATCTGAGATTGGTTTTGTCAACCCATTCTATCATCTTCCGCTTCATTCATATATTTATTATTTGATTTAACAAGTCTTAAATAAAATCATTTTTATTTCAACATCAGATGAAAATATTTTATTCCATATTTCATTTTATCTTTTCGTTCAGTTTCTCACTTTAATCTTTTCTAATTCAAAATTAAAATTTCACATTTAATTTGTTTTTTGAATTTTATGTCGAATTTTCGACCATTTTCATCATAGTAGTACTTTTTTTTGAATGATTGAGTACCATAAGGAATTTTTATGATTTGATGTGATGCTCGAATATTTCTTATTTTTCCTTCATCTCCCTGATCTATTTTAAGTGTTTGAAATTTACTTAAAATAATTTTAATGACAACCACGTGTTTTTTGGTCATCGTGTTTTCCAGACATTTCATCAATAAAGCATTCATAAAAAAGGGTAAATATTTGACAGTGGTTTCAATTTGCTATGTCCTGTTTACCAATTCAACATCAGAAACTGATGAAATGATAATATTGACATTTCACGTTTGTCCGTGTTTGCTTTTGACGTACTGACCGCACATAATATCATTTTAATGAACTTTCTCATCAGATTCGAAATGTTAATTTAAAAATAATTGTATAAAATCAATGTTGCTTAATTTTATATCTTTTCAACGCTGCTGTGAAAAATTTACATAAATCATTTAAATTTAATAATTTTTTTTGGAGAATCAAAGTTGTCTTATTTCGTCTTTTAATTTAAATCAATTCAAATTATTTGACCATGAAGAGTTACATGTCACAATGTAACATTTGAAAATTTCAGATCATATGTCTTTTTATACCATGCATAATTCTTTTTTTGACCTACAATTTTTGTATACATTGAGTATTTAAAATTAATTTTCACTTACTGATTTTCAGCATTTACGACAGATAAGTTAGATAATTTTAAAAAAAAGAGAAAAGCCATTTTTTATTGATTTTGAAAATTTATCTCTTATTATTATTCTAATAAAAAAAAGAAAAAATTCACAGTGAAATAATCGTTTTCAACAAGGTGGTTCGAATAGAAATGACGCGGATACGGTATAAAAATGATGCCTTTTTTTTCTTTTTTCGCAATATAATTCTTCGATCAAACTACCCGTCTCATCTTATTTCTCCTTCTCTCTGTCTCTCTCTCTTTCTTCTCCCTTTCCTTTATTAAAGCTGACAATAATAGTAAAGGTGGGAAAAGTAGTACTCACAATACAAATGCATCATAAAGTTATATGCCCATTATTGAAAAGATGCAAAAAGGTATTTATAACATTGATTCTGTTATCGGAACGGTACGATAAGACTTTTGTGGCAGACGTTTCTGATTTTTGGTTTTCGTCTCCTGCTATAATAAAAATTTGTCATAATCGTTTAGGATGAAAGAATTGAAAAGAATTTAATACTTTAGCAAAATTTCTTTTCGTTTCGTTTTTCTTTTGGTTCTTTTCATTTTATATGATATTTTTTTGGTGTAGAATTTAAGAATATTTTATAGAATTTAAAACGGTGGAAGGAGGCAAAACTGGAGTCGGCAAACGTATTTGGTCTTTCAACAGCTAGTACCTCATCGTTAAGCAGTACAGGTGGTACTGCAGCTAATATGAATGCAATGCTTAGTAACGCTACCGGACTTGCATCTGCTTCAGCAGTTTCTGCATCAACATTCGATTCGGCAGCACTTTATCAAGCGCAAGCATCTACCTTAACACAGGTTTCGAATTATTTCATTTTTAAATTCAAATGTAATCACATTTTCAAATAATAAATTTGTGTGGATTGTGACTGATCGCGAAAAAATTTAAATTAATAACTCCAGCTTTTTTTTAATAAATCTAAAAAAATCAGAAGGAAAGATTTAAAAGCTTATTTAAAATTGATCGTCTAGAGTTCCCAGACCTTACGATTGTTTTCCGTGGTTATCACTAACAAATACTTCGAATCCATGCTCTACTACTGCTACTGCTATTTTCTCAGTCTACATTGATTTGCCTGAGATGAACCTATGAACCCTAGAATGAACTCATCGAGAATGACTTTCACAAATACCACAATCTCGGTACTATTGTATCGTTTTTTTGTTTGACTTAATTGTTTGATTAACCAATAAAATCCCTCTGCTAACCCCGTCAACCTATCCTCATCTGTATTTACATATAGCAAATATTAATAGTGACGCATATGGCATTAGAATAAAGGAGGCAGATTAACTGCAAAATAATCATGATATGATATCATTGATGTCAACTAAGTGACTATAGCACCTACATTCCTTTTTCACCTCCTAATATGACAACAAATGTGCTAACCCTTATGATATATTCTCTACATTTACTCATCAAAAAATTTCCCTATTATGAATTTTGGGGACGCCTTCATTTGTTTGCTTTTCGGGAACTTCTGCAAATCATCCATTTCTGAGTACATTTGAGAAAAGGTCAACAGCATGTGTATCATTTGATCAATATGCAAGCTTTACTTTTATTATTTCCAGATAGTTTCTTCTTATTTCATTTAAATTTTTATTAAATTAATAATATTGATGAGACAAATAAATATATTTTCTTCCTTCAAAATTCTATGAAATTTAATTTATTTTTGAATTACTTGATTAAAAATGTATAAAAACTACAAGATTTTAAAGTTTAAACCCTTCATAAACAGTGTATTTTTCAAGCCACATAGATTTTCTTTAAAGAAAACCTTATTTTCAACCACTTAAAAGAAAGTCGATTATGACCATCGTGTACAGAGGTGGACATTCAATGAATATTTGGCAGTACTTTGGACATAATTGGTTTGATGATGGAACTCGAGAAAGGATGAAATTCAATATCAACGCAGCAATTGAGATTGCTGCGTTGATGATATGGCTGAGATACCGTAATCTTCTCGTGCCAGGCAATCCTTGGAGAAATGA